AGCCGCGGGTGCGCGGCGGCCGACGAGGACTTGAGGATGGCGTCGAGGGACGCGTCGTCGGGGGCCGAGTCAGGCGCGTCGGACAGCAGGCCGCCGATGGTGAACACCGCGACGCTGTGGCCCGTGTCGGCGGCAAAGGCGTTGATCTGGTTGATTCGGCGTGTTAGGTGGCGGACAGGGGCGAGCGTAGAGATGGGTGGGGTGTTGGTCTGGGGGGGGAGCAGGGGTGCATGCGGCCAAACAGAACGCTGGATAGCACCTCTGTCGCACACGCTTGCGCACGCCCGTGCTCGTGCATGCACGCGCGCGCGCGCGCGCACACACACACACACACACACACACACACGCGTGCGCGTGTGCGTGCGCGAGCGGCCGAAGCCCCGAAGCCCCACCTCCTGCTTGAGTGCCTCAAAGCGTGACCGCAGCCGCGACAGGTCCATGGATGCGCCCTCCACCGGCAGAACCTCATGCTCCGGCGGCACCACGGGCGCGCGCGCCGCGGGGGGCGCCTGCTCAACGCGCTGCCGCTTGCTGCCGCCGTTGCGGCCATCGCCACCGCCGCCGCCACCGTCGCCGCCGCCGCCGCCGCCGCCCCCGCCGCCTCCGCCGCCGCCGCGGCGGTTGGCGCCACCGCCGGCCCTAGACAGAGTTGGCGGAGAGCTGGGGGTTCTCAGCATGCAAAGCAAACAGTCAGGACTGCGCCGCATCCGACAAGACGCATGCGCCGATGCGCGTACAGGCAACAGCGTGCACGCTCCTCACCTGCCGCCGCCGCCGCCGCCGCCGCCACCACCACCGCCGCCGCCGCCACCAACACCAATGGCACCCGGCGGCACCGGCCGGAGCTGATCGTGCCTGTGGTTGTTGAGGCGCAAAGCAAGGCAGAAGCCAGGCAGTCAGACTTGCTGGGCGAAGCCAGCGTTGGGGGTCAAAGTGGCATGCAACGGCTGCAGGCCGCAGCAACCGCAGACACTCAAGTTCACCACTCCTTCTGTAGCACACGCTCCCAGGCAGCTGATAGACCTGTTGGCGCTCGGGCCCTCACCCATGTGCAAAGGTGCACTTCTGGCCATAGGGGCACTGCCCTGTCGTCATGAAGCGCTCGCAAAGCTTGGTCTTGTGGATGCCGGGGTTCTTCGGCCCGGCAGCACCTGCGCCCCCACCGCCGCCGCCACCTCCACCGCCCATGCCGCTGCTGCCCATGCCGCCGGCAACAATGCCTGGCGCGCCCATGGGCGGGCCACCCATCATCATGGGCGCCCCCATCCCAGGTCCGCCCATTTGGGGGCCGCCCATGCCCGGGCCTGCCGCGCCAATGATGATCGGCGCAGACCCCATGGGGCCCATCCCGGCCCCCATAGGTCCCATACCACCGCCGCCCATGCTGCCGGCCGGGCCTACCAAGCTGCTGCCCGGCGCCAGGCTGCCAGTCGGCGCGCTGCCGCTTGGGGTCATGATCTTGCCGGAGCGCATCGGGCGCGCAGGAGGGGGCGCGCCCGGCAGGCCTCCAACCATGGGCGCGCCCCCACCGCCCATCATCATGCCGCTGCCGATGCCGACGCCGCCGCCCATTCCTATTCCGCCGCCGCCGCCGCCACCACCCATCCCCATACCAATGCCGCCGCCGCCGCTGCCGCCCATAGGACCTTGGCCGCCACCGCCACCGCCACCGCCACCGCCGCCACCGCCGCCGGCACGCAGGTCAGCCCGCAGGTCGGCCTCACCATGGGCATACCTGCAGGTGGGGCCAAAGTTGCACTTACCCTCCTGCCACCTGGTGTGGGACGCGCGGGGTGGATGGACATGAAGTGCGCACGCGACCGCTGAGAACCAGACAAGCTGCGCATCGGGGCGAGCGACTGCATGCACTAGTGTCTCAACGAGGTCAAGAGGAGCCCCAACAGCACCCTTCTCACTTGTGGCACATGCGTGTTTTGTAGAACTGGTTGGAATCGTCGCCCGCACCGCCCTGGCCGCCCTGACCGCCTGTGCCAAGATGGCCTCCGCCCATCCCCACTGAGGTCGGCGCCGCGATCACGGGCATGCCCCCGGGGCCAAGCACGGTGATTTGGGACATATCCTGCATCGTCGATGGGAGACCGGACGGAGCGTACATGGTTGTCGAACACACCCGTCCCCTCGCACCGAGAGCAGCAAGCCGATCTGAGGGCCCTGTGCAGCCCACGACGCCCGGCTGGCTCACCAACGTCGACATGTCCATGCCAGGAAAACCTCCGATGATCATCTGTGGGGTGAGGGCGAAGCCGGGGCCCAGCACCTGCGCCCCTCCCTGGCCAAGCCCGGGAGGGGCCATGCCGAATCCGGCCGAGCCTTGAGGGAACATGACCGTGTGCACTCTTCCCGTAAGTTGCCTTGCTGTCAAGCACAGAGGCGCTGTATTTTACGCGGGACCGAACACTACCGGCTTGTTTGTGTGTAGAAGGTCCTGGTAGTATCAAGGAAGCAGCACTGCCTGCGGAATCTGAAACTGTGAAGCAGGCGCATGCTGTATATGGCGACCCTTGAGCACACCATTGAGCGCCTGCCGTGCACCTGCTGCACATCGCCAAGGCTGCAAGGTATGAGGGTACGAGAGGCTTACAGGTAAAATTTGTTGCTACTGCGCCTGTTGCGGAGGCCGCTGCTGCAATGGCTGCTGCGGAGGCGGTTGCGGTTGCTGATGCCTGCCAGCATCAGAAGCTGCGTCGCCCTGCACGCCTACGTCGTGCCGTCCAGCCTGCTCGTTCCACGTTGCCTGTAAGAGGTGACACAATGCATTGGCAAGTGCGAGTGCAAAATTGTGACCTACTGAATGTGCAATCATTGAGGGTTTTTAACCAGCAGCCAGCTGAGGCCACTGTCGCTCCTGCTGTTGAGGCATCCTCAGGTGCCTGTGTGTCGCCTGCGTACACTACCAAGCACACAAGGTCCCGTGCACTGAGCGCATTCTCAACACCCATAGAATGTCTGGCTTTCAACGTACCACAAGACTAAGCGTGCACGTCCGCAACTGGATGCACTCACATGCATGTCAACGCACTCGGCAGCTCACACAAGCACATGCTCTCAAGCGCACCTGCAGCTGCTTGTAGTACCGCGCGAAATCGTCTTTCTCCTGCTCACATCTGATGGTGCCTAAGGAAGAGGAGAGGTCACCTGTGGGTCAAGATACTGAGTGCGACGACGCCCGCATACGCCACCTGCCGACTCCCGCGATCTCAAGGCCCAGGGGTTCATGCTCACCGAACATCATGTCTAGTACAGGGCAGGTGATGGCTGCCGCCATCAAAGGCCGCTCTGTCTGCGGGAGGTCATGAGGGCCATCGGTGCATGTGCGAACAACAAAAGGGTGTTCGCTGGATGCAAGGCGGGCTGGGGAAGAAGGGTGCTCTTTGGGCGTGTCTCTGCGCCTCGAGCGTCCCCTGCCGTACACACACGCGCAAAAGCAGGGCTTCCAGCCAACTCCAGTTCAGGCTGGTATGCGCTGCGCACCCCGCCCTCACACGCGCGCGCACACACACACACACACACACACACACACTGCCTCCGCCGTCACTCAAGTCGCCGCACCTTGTACTTGACGCAGATGGGTATGGTAATGAGCAGGCCACCTGCGCCGGCCACGCGCAGCTTTGAACAGTGAAAACGGCCCTGCACAATGCCACGGCCGGCTGAACGCCAATGCGTGCTGCTGGTGATCTGGTCGGCCCACGACCCTCCCCAGGGGGGCCCCTTCGCCCCTGCATTCTCTCAATCGCGAGCACGCCGTTGCCGGCAACCTCGGCCTCTTACACCCAATTCTCTGATTCTTTCGAAGCCGACCTATGGTGAAGAACCACATGTTTTTCTCCAGGCAGGCGTCCAGCTTGTCTCTCAAGTCCCGGCCCTTGTAATCCAGAAACCCAGGGGGCAGCGCCGCCAGCACCACCTGTCGGGCACGGCGCGGCCATGGTGGGGGGGTGGTCTGCGGTGCAACGGCGCCAGAAGAAGCGAGCCGTGCTCTGCGCTTGGCACGCCAGTGCCACAACGAGCCACGTGCGGCCCAGCACACCTTGCCGGACTCATCTTTGCTGCCTGCTAGACCCATGACCTGACACGTCAGCTGGATGCAGCAGCTGTGCGAGCGTCAGGCACGAGGCGCAAGCGTGGCTGAGGCAAGGTTCTGCGATGTCCAAGGTACACGTGGCACTAAATTCCAAAGTTTTGTAGTGAGCGTGCCGCAAAGATTGCTGTATGTGAGACCGCCGATCTGAAGATCTGATGCCGGGGCCGAGGGTTGTCGTGCCTCGCGGTACAGGCAGGTTGTAGATGGCGCAATCGTAAGACTTGTTTCCTTATCACGCACCGCCTGTGAGCCGCACCTTTTGGCCCATTTGACTGCCAACATTGAACAGTCAGCACCTACGGTACCTCACTACCCAGATTTTTGCGAGGGGCTGCCAAGTATAATTCAAGAATGAGTGGTGGTTTTTTGAAACGGTGGCGGCCGACTACGACTCCAAGGTGGTTGAGGTACAGTACCTTCAAGTTGCATCCGTCCATCACTGTCTCTCAGTCTCACTGGGATCATGCGGTAGCGCCACCTGCACGCGGGATGAAGCACCAGCACAGCGCACAATACGAGTAGGATCTCTGTGCCCGTTCCAGCTCCATCAGGAGTGAAAGCTTCAGTTCAAAGCCGATTATTGCTGTCTCTGAATGCACTGGGCATGCAGCATGTGTCGGCACTGCGGCCGCATTCGAACCAGCATTGGCCTAGGTGCGCGGCGCGGCACCAGCCTCGGCCATAGCACGCGGGTGGCCTCCAACATGGACCTTACCAGTAGTACATGGCGCACGCACGGTGGATGCTTTTGCGCTATAGATGGAGTTGTAATGCGGACTTCCGCAGGAACAGTTTATAACATTTACAAGCTCCCTTGCTTGCCCCACAGGCGGCAGCAGCAGCACCCTTATCATGGTGCCGGCAGATTCAGGCAAGATCGTTCGTGGACTGAAAAAGCCACCATAGCTTTCCAACACTTCCAATAACATGGAGGCTCCCCTCATCACGGGGCAGGTGAGGTAAAGAGGCTGGATTTGCACAGGTTTCGTTCTATGGCCAGCTGCCCTGAGCCTGCTCGCGCTGCTGCTGCCTCAGCTTCGAGCATGAGGGCAGGCACTACTGCCCGCTCATGCTGACCTTCTCATGCGCACCAGGACCCCCCTGTTGCCTGCACGCACCGCAGCATAGGCTTGCACCCGCCCGCTGAGGAGGCGTACCATGCATCCCCGGCCCGCCCGAGCCCCCCGAGCCCGGGGTGGTAGGAGATGCCTGAGAAGGGGCAAGCGCAACGAGGTGCACAGGGTGCGCAGCGGATTGGGGTGCGTGATGTGTGCTGTGTTGGGTGCACAGGCTACACAGCAGATTTGAGTGATGTGTGCTGTGTTGGGTAACCCACCGAGCAGGCAGGGTAGGTCAATCAGACAGTGAGGGTTGCCGCCAAGGGAGTGTCATCAAGTCCTGAGCAGCACACAACAAGGCAGCTTCGGTCAGATCACGTACCCACGTGTCATGCTTTACGCGCCCATGCATCGACAGACAAAAGTAGTTCTGGGGGTCAAGCCACGCACCCCGTGCTTGGCTGGGATTTGTTTTTTCCTTCCCTGCCCTTTGGCAGACTTGATGACTCTTTTGGCTTTGGGTTTTCTCTGCACCCTGCAAGACATCTGCCAACCGCGGACGCGTACCAGCTTTATCAAAGCTGAACGTCCGCGCCAACAGCTGTTATATTTGGCATACGCCCCGCACACCCTGCACTTTGCAACCAACGGAGGCCAGCCTCCGGATTCTAGGCACATGGCTGGCACGCTGAGCTTTGCGGCTGCTCCCACTCCTCTCCGTACTTTGATCGGTTTGCAGGGCTGTATCATTCTGACGCGGGGACACCTGGAAGGGTCTGTGGGTGCCCCAGCTTCATTGAAGCATGGTCAGCTTGCAGCCCTGCACTGATGCATTGAGCCCCCGTTGGCGCGGCCTTCATTCACTTCATCATAATAACCTATCTACAAGATATCAGTAGACAGCAAATGGCTGTCAACGTTTGGTGGGAGGGCGATTTTCCCGCATGCATGCACAGCAGTCGAGCGGAAAGGCAGAAGGAATGCAGCTTTTGACCGCCAGCTGGCAGGCTTGTAGCAAGTAGATTGGGTACAGTAGAGATATTTCAAGGGTTTTATGGGGCTGGCCGTGACTTCTTCAAAGGGAGGGGCCAGTAACAAAGGAGTAAACTTGGACGATAGGTGATGGGTGCACTGCTCGTGGAAGCAGCACCAGGACTTCGCAGTACCAGCCACCCCGCAGCCACCCAGCCGCCGAGCCTGTGGCCGTCCCATTTGATTACTGCATGGTAACAAGTTTTGTGTGCACGAAGCGCGGCGCGTCCCTACTTCCACGTGGCCACCTCGCATGCTCGCAAATCAGGAAGACTGCATGCACCGAAAGCTAGCATTTGAGCCACTGGCTCCGACCGCATACTATGAGCCCTTGATGTAAGGTTCCTGATAGTGTTCCGCTAGTGAAGGAGTTCGTGGCCCAACACACTGTCACTGGCCCCCATCGTCCCTGTTCGCAGCCACGGCTCAGACTGTGAGCGCGATTATCAGCGCGACGCTTCCAACTCTTATACGCGCTGCGCTTACCAGGCTCGCGCACGCACGACGGCGCCGCTTGATGCCGCGTCACCCAATGCAATCGCCCTTCACCGCGCCCTTCTCACGCAGACCAGTGATTCGGGTCAGCCGCCACGGCCTTTGTGGGGCGCCCTTGCCCGTAGGCTGGGCGGGAGGGATGCAAGGTGTCTCATTTGCGCGGCCCAAGCGCCGCGGGCGCGCAGATGTGGACGGCGGCGGCGTCGCATGGCAGCAGCACTGGCACCAGGCCAGCGATGCTTGCGGCCAAGTACAGCATACGCTGCCTGAGCAGCGCCTGCAGCAGCTCAGCCACCTGTACACGGCAAGGGGCAGTGAAATTGTGCGGCAGGCGGCGTGGGCTGAGGAGCAAGGGGTTACTAGTAGGTCAGGGCAAGGGCCGAGCTGGGCGCAGCATCATTCCGCACAGGAGCAGCGCCGGGCTGCGCCCCAGTCCCTGCGCAGCCTGTGGCGGCAGCAGCAGCAACAGCAGCAGCGGCGGTTGCAGCAACAAGAGCAACAGCAGCAGCAGCAGCAGCAGCAGCAGCAGCAGCAGCAGCAGCAGCAGCAGCAGCAGCAGCAGCAGGAGCACCTGCAGCAGCAGCAGCAGCCGCAGCAGCCGCCGCCTCAGGAGCAGCAGCAGCAGCAGCAGCAGCAGCAGCAGCAGCTTCTGCTGCTGCTGCAATCTAAACAGTGGCCGCAGCAGCAACAGTGGCGGCGGCGGCAGCAGCAGCAGCAGCAGCAGCAGCAGCAGCCGCAGCAGCGGCAGCAGCAGCAGCAGCAGCACCAGCGGCGGCAGCAGCAGCAGCAGCAGCAGCAGCAGCAGCAGCAGCCCTCTCAGCTGAGTCAGAGCTCAGCTTGGGACAGCCCTCGCTTCTCGCAGCCCCCTACGCAGCCGCCGGCAAGCCAGCGGCTCGCATCGCCAGCGAAGGCAAGAGGGCCCAGTATGGACGACGACGGCTGGTCAGAGGACCAGGGACCCAGCGCGCTGGCAACCCCAAAGCAGCCGCAGCCGCAGCAGGTGCTCGAGCAGCTGCAGCGCCTGCAAGAGCAGCAAGCGCCGGCGCCGCCGCAGCAGGCCCCGCGGCAGCTCGAGCCCCCACGTACCCCGTCGAGCATCGAGACGCGGGACATGAGCCCAGGCAGCTCGCCGCCGCAGCCAGCGCCCCCGCAGCCGCGCCAGAGGCAGCTGCTGCTGGAGCGTGCCCTGGCACTTGAGCGGCAGCGTTTCTCCCGGGACGGCATGCTGCCGCCCAGCGCGGGCCGTGCGCACGTGGTGTCCTGGGCGGAGCAGGCCGGCGCAACCGGCGCTGCGGCTGCAGAGCCAGACCGCGCACTGGCCGCGCCAGACCGCGCACGCTGGCCGCGCGCGGCGCGCTGGCCGGCCGCCCCTGCATCCGCCCCTGAGGCGGCGCCGCTTCCCGCGCTGCCCGATGAGCCTTGCGCGAGGAGGGTGCACGGCCTCGCAGCGCACGCAGCCCCCGCGATCGCCCGGCACCAAGCAGCTGAGGAGGTGGTGGCGCCGTGCAGCCAAGCAACGCCCGCGCCATCCTCCCCGCATCTGCCGCCGCCTCAACTGCATGAGCAGCGGGAGAAGGCCGCTGCATCACCGGCCCAAAGCTCCGGCCTGAGCGTGGCAGACGGTGATGCGCAACGCCCGCTGCACCGCCGCATCGTCGATGCGCTCACGCTTGGTTGCACGCGGGTGGGCCGCCTGCAGCCGCTCCCAGCGCCGGAGCAGCGCGCCGGGTGGCGGCCCGCCCGCGGGCGGGCGGCGCTGCGCGAGCGGGCGCCGCTGCTGGCCAAGGTCGCGGCTCTGGGCCGCGTGCGGCTTGCGCGTGGATGGCGCACACCTGGAGCCGCTGCGGGAGCCCGCAGCTCGCCCCAACACAGTAAATGGCATCGGCGGCTGTCGGTGCTGCCAGCGACCTCAGCGGAGCAGGCGGAGGAGCAGGAGGAGAAGGTTGCGGGGAGCCTCTCCAACACAATGCTGCAGCAGGAGCAAGCAGCGCCGGCGGCCCCACAGCAGCAGCAGCAGCAGCAGCAGCAGTGGCAGAGGACACGGGCGCTCGTGGGCATGTTGGGCGCGCGCATGAGCAGCAGCATGCGCATCGCACGGCTTCAGCTGCCGCACCACCAGCCTGCTCGTCACCTGAGCCCCTTACGCACGGGGCGCTCCCGCGGCAGCAGCAGGGGCGGGGACAGCCCAAAGCAGCTGCCGCAGCTGCGGTGGCGGCGCCCCGACATCGGGCGCAGTCTGTGGAGTCACCCGCGGCTGCGGCCGTCTAGGCAGGCGCACAGCGCACACAAGGCTCAGGCTGCGGAGGAGGTCGAGGAGGGGCGGCGGCAGCACGTCAGGGAGGGCGAGGAGGGCGGCGAGAGCGAGGGGCACGCGCCCGCTGCGACGGCCTCCGACGCTTGGTCGCCGCCCGTGCAGCACGCAGACTCATCGACGGCGTCGTCGCAGCCGGTGACGCTCGACCACCAGCAGTCGCCCCGCTGGGCAGAGGGTACGGGCAGCGAGCGCGTGTGCAGCAGCAGCATCGGCAGCGACGCGCCACGGCGCAAGGTCGAGCAGCCGCACGAAAGAGCTCCTGTGGTCAAGACCAAATCGCGTCTGCTGTCCGAGGTGAAGCACTCAATGCCTCTCGCGGCTGACCACAAACCAAATAGCACCGCGCACGCCGCCGTCGCGCTGCGGCCCGCGTCTCGCATCCAGCGCACCGCAAGCGCCCCGCCACCCGTGGATCATGCGGCAGCGGCTGCGGCGCTCCGCCCGCCGCCGCCGCCGGCGTCGCCGCTGCACCCCGTGTCAGACCAGTGCCTCATCTGCGGCTCGAAAATTGCAGAGGTGGTCTTCCTGCACGATGACGCCGTCCACCGCTGCTGCTGCCGCGGCTGCGCCACCGGCATGGCGGTCGGTGGCCCCTGCCCGCAGTGCGACGCGCCCGTCGTCGCGATCCTGCGCGTCTACTCGGCTGCCGCCAGGGACTCGGCCGCTCCTGCGGCCCTCGTGGGGGTTGCGGGGGCCGGTTGGTGACGGCGGGCCAGGAGGCCTCCATTGCAGCCTCAGAGGTGGCGCCCGCGCTGTGTCAGCACAGGCGTTGCCGTGCTGGAGGAGGGATGAAGCACGAGGCGGGCAATGCTTGTTTGCTGAAGCGTGGCAATCAAAGGCATTTTGAGCGGCCGACAGGACCGCTGATGCAGCGGCCAGCAGGCCTCTGCGACGGTTGGGTGGTAGTCTTGACATGGCACTGCGTCCATTGCTCGGGGCTCTTGGGGATCTGCTTAACCTTCTTTGCTTGGGTGAGCATCAGGCGCACTGCAGCAGGCAGGGCATTGCGCGAGCCAGGTAAACAGCCCCTCTGCTGCTCAAACTAATCGAAAACGTCTTCACTTGCAGAATCAACGTTGATCCAATAATTCATGGGGCTCCAAGGTCCCTGCTGCCATTGTATGGCTGGCCCTTGGTGCTGCGGTCACACACGAATCGTGTCCCAAGAGCTGCCGCGTGCACAGCACAAGCAGCACAAGCAGCACAAGCACCTTTGTTTATTGCGATCGCTCAGTGCCACTCATGCGAGCGCACCTTGCACGCGCTTGCGTTTGTGCGACACGCACATGTCGGTGCTCGCGCGCGCACATACGCACACATTTCAACACCATTGCAAAACTGGATTCACGGCATGCGATCTGCAAAGGCAGTTGTGCCCAGCAAGTGAGCGTGTGTGTTGATGGCACATGGATGCATGCGCCTGCCGTTACTGTTGTCCTGCGGTTTATCGTGTTCCAAGCAGATCATTTTGACGAATTGATCATGCCCGCACAGACCACACATTGCACCTACCTGACACCCGACCAGCAGCCCTGTGGCTGCCGGCGCCGCTGGGCGCAATCCCCTGTCACTTGTAAACGCCAACTGCGCCAAAACATGCTAGTCATAAAGTATTGCGCCTGTCTGACAGCAACGTCGGCGGTCATCCGTGCCCGCAATTTCCGGCTGTATGGCTGGCGAGCACTGAGGGGGGTCGCGTTGACCAGTACTTGATAGACTGTCAGCATTGAAAAGGCTTGGCTAGTAGTGCCGCCCCGCTTGCACGCGCATGCCGTCACGTGAGCGCCTGGCGGTTCATGTGCACGAAGGTAGATTTTGATGCAGGTGTGCTCTTTCCAGGGTGGTCAACTCACGACCGACCCTGCAGCACCTGAAACACATGGTCTGGGCTAGTGCTGGTGAGGGCCCTTGTCACGGCGCCGCTGCCGACATCTTGCTATATGCTGCAACACAGGCTCACAAACTACTTCTTGCGTTGTGTTTTGCATTACGCGAGAAGTGATTGACGAAGATAGCTCATATTTGCCGTTTGGCGTGGGACTCACCTCCAAGACTTGGGCCAGTGGCAAAGCCTTGGACTGGCCCAGGCCGGCTCGAGGAAGGGCGCGAATATATCTTGATAAAAAGCTGTCAAGGTGAGCTTAGAGCGCGGCGTGTGGCTTGCGGTGCGGTGTCCGGTGGCCCCTGACATTGGCAAGCCCTTTACGGCTATTTCGCACGGCTGGAGGTCATTTACGAAAGTCAGTATATGCTTCTCGGTGGAGCGGAAGGGGTCACCCGGCAGTCGCGATTTCGCTGTCGGCTTGCACGCAAAGGGGCCGGGGCATCCTGAGCGAACGGAGGGTAAGCATGCACGACGGTGAGGGGCTCGGCATTCCTCCGCGAAGAGCTCGGCATCCCTCCCTCGTGACACGCACCGCTCCATGCGCACCGCGTCGGCGCCGCTGCCCCGCGCCGCAGGGCATGACTAGTGCCCCTTCGCATGCGCTGAGATCAGCTCGGGGCGCTCGACGCCGGTCATAAGCCCCGTGCCGCGCCCGCCTGCGCGGGCGCGGCGCCGCCGCCGCCGGTGTGACGCATGGCGCGGCTGTTTCGCAAGCCGAAAGATGGCGCAGGGGCCCAGCAGAAGGCTGCCGCCGTGCACGTCAGCGGGCACCCCACCATCTTGAAGCTTTTGGAAGAGTACACGGGACAAGATGACGATCAGGGCTGTGACAACGGGGACAAAAGCCTGGCCGCGCCACTCCGGGCCCCTTCGTCGCCGGGGGCGGCCCAGCCCACGCCGCACCAGCAGCCGCCGCCACAGCCGGAGCAGCAGCAGCGGCGGCAGGAGTGGGAGCACGAGCGCGAGCGGGAATGGCAGCGGGAGCGCGAGCTGGAGTGGGAGCTGGAGCGGGCGCGCGCTCGGGGGGACGCAGATGAAGCGGCACCAGATCTCGAGGTGCGGGACACCCTGCAGCCCAGCCCCTGCGTGGCTCCCCAGGGCTTGAGCTCCCCGCGGTCGCAGTCGCCGCAGCAGCAGCAGGACCAGCAGCAGCAGCAGCAGCAGCAGCAGCAGCAGCAGCAGCAGCAGCAGCAGGAGCGGCAACAGCAGCAGCAGCACCACCACCACCACGACCAGCAGCAGCAGCAGCTGTCTGGGCTAGAGGAGGGGGCCCCAGAAGAGCAGCACGCGCCCTCAAGCTTCGTCGCGCCGCCGCCGAGACGGTGCGCCTCGGCCGCGCCCCTCAGCCCCTCCCCGCGGGGCTCGCGCACGCCGACGTCTCAAGGCTCGCGCTCGCCGCAGCCTGCCGGCGCGCTGCCCCGCGGCCTCGTGTTGCACCAGCTGCGCCCCGGGCCGCCCCAACTGCGCCCGGAGCTCGCCGCTGCACGCCGCGCCGCCGGCGGGCGCCGCTCGCCGCGGTCGCCCGTGCAGGAGGAAGCCAGGCAGCAGCTGCTCGAGCTCTGCACGCGCGTCGGCCGCATGCGGGGCCCGCTGCCCCCGGAGCAGCCCTGCTGGCGGCCGCCGCGGCCGCGCCGCGCGCGCGGCGCCCCCAAGCCGGACCGCGCGCGGCTGCTGGCGCAGCTCGTGCGGCTCGAGGAGGCGCGGCTCGAGTGGGGGCGAGGGCACCGCCCGCCGGCGCTGCCGCCGCTGCCGGCGGCGGACCCCGGTTCTGACAGCTGTGAGTATGATGGGGACAGCGTGTTGCAGGAGGGGAACGAGGAGGAGGGGGAGCCGGGCGATGAGGGGAAGGCGCGGCCGCCGGCCGCGGCCGTCCGCGGCCCCTCCGCGCCGCAGCTGCGCACGCCGCCCCCAGCGGCCCTGTCGAGCCAGCCTTCCCGGGCGCGCCTGCAAGCCGCAGGGGACCGGGAGTCTGAGCGCCCAGCCCGATTGGCGAGCCTCACCAACAGCGCGCGGCCCGGCGGCCCGGGGCGCCCCCTCGGCCCCCAGCGTGGCGCCAGCTTCCAGGGCCCCGCAGGCCGCCCGCCCACAGCGGCGGCGGCGGTGGCGGCCGCGGCGCAGCAGCTGCCGAGGCGCGCCCAGGGTGGGTCTGTGGCCGGCGCAACCGCGTCGGAGTTGGGGCTTAGCCGCGAGCCCTCTTGGCTGCGCCGGCCGCCGCTTGTGACAGGCGCGACGCGGCGCAGCCAAGCGATGGTGCAGCGGCTGGAATCCGAGCGGACACGCCTTGTCAGCAGCATCTTCAAGCGGCTTGACGGCTGTGACGACGCGTCGTCCATCGCGAGCGAGCAGCAGACGCCGCGCGCGCTCGTGCGCCTCAGCAGCGGGCGCGGGCGCGGCAGCTTCGGCGCCGGCGCGCCCGTGAGCGAGGATGGCGGGGGATTCGGCGCTGGCGGCGTGACGTGGGGCGCTCATGAGCACCAGCCGGCGCAGGAGCCGGCGCCCGCAGGGCGGGTCAGTCAGTGTTCGGCCCTGGCCTCGGCGGCGCAGCCAGACAGCCCAGATGCGCCGTCGTCGCGCGCCTGTGCGTGGCACAAGCTGTTCTCGTCATCAGAAGAGGAAGAGGTGGTGGTCGCTGACGTGTCACGCCACCCCCGCTCGCCAGCCTCGCACAAGACAGTGGCACCGCCTCCCGCTCCGTGGCCGCGGCCCGCCCTGCCCCTACCAGAGCTTCCTCCATGGCAGCCTCGCGAGCGCCGGTTGCTGCAGCCGGCCGCCCCGCAGCCGGCGCCGCAGCCGCAGGTCTCGTCTGCGCCCGCGTCGCCGGCCGCGCGCCAGGGCTCGCGGCAGATATGGGTTCGGGAGCCCCCCTCGTGCGAGGGACCGTGGGATGCGCCGCCCCTGCAGCGTCCGGGCCCCGGCTCCCGTCGGGTCTCTCTCGAGTCTCAGCGCTCGCAGCGGCCCGCGCCGCTGCCGTGGGTGCCGCAGCCGACCGAGGCTTCAGGGGAGGACGGCGCGTCACTTTCTTCGCCTGTCTCGCGCCAGGGGTCGCTGCCTTGGCAGGTGCCGCTGTCCGAGCGGCTCACGGCGTCGTCGCGGCAGGGGTCGCTCGCGTCGCAGGGGTCCCACCGCGAGCCCCAGCGGCGGGCGGCAATGCCTTGGGTCGCGCAGCCGCTGTGGGTATCAGAGGACGTGGTTGCGTCCCCGGGGGCGCCTCCGGCGCGGCCGCAGCCCTCGAGGCAGGGTTCGCCCCGGTCACGGCTGGGCGGCCCGCCGCCCCAGGCCAGCCTCTCGCGCCAGGATGCGCCGGCGGCCCAGCATGGCACGCCCCCGCGGCAAGGCGGCGCGCCTTCAGAGCAGGGCAGCCCGCGGTTGCAGGGCGGCGTCGGCCCGCGACAGCAGCCGCAGAGCCTGCCGTGGCCGTCGCCGATCTCGCACCTGCTGCTATCGTCATCGCGAGACGCCTCATGCGGTTCTCAGGCGGAGGGGGAGGAGGGGCAGCGGCAGCGGCAGCAGGAGTCAGAACAGCAGCAGCAGCAGCAGCAGCAGCAGCAGCAGCAGCAGCAGCAGGAGGAGCAGCAGGAGGAGCAGCAGGAGGAGCAGGCATCACAGCAGCTGTCACCGCGCTCGTCTGTGACGTCGCAGCCGCGGGCAGGGCCGTCGCCGGAAGGGTCGCTGCTGCGGCAGCGCTCTGCGCTGCGCTTGCCAGCGGGCCAGCCGCGGCCGCTACCGGCGCCGGCGCAGCACCCAGGGCTGCTGCACAGACACTCCCAGCAGCCCTCGCAGCAGCAGCAGCATCCACTGCTGCACCAAGAGCATTCTCTGCAGCAGCCTATGGTGGCCCTGCGGCGCATCAACGTTCGGCCTTGTTCGCCCGTGCAGCAGCGGCAGCAGCACGCCGCCTCCCCATGGGGGCCCCTCCGCGCGCGCGCGCCGGCCACCAAGCCGCCCGGCAGCCCCGTCCGCGTGCCCGGCAAGGCAGGCCCCAGCAACGGGGGCGCGCCCGCCGCTGGGCTGGGCCGCGCGGGCGCGGCCGCAGCCGCCGCTGACAGCAGCGCGCTGCCGGGCGCGACGCAGCAGCCTCGGTCCCAAGCGGCCAAGTTGCGTGCCATGGCCCTGGACACCTGCGTGATCTGCCTCGAGGCGCCGTCCGAGGTTGTCTTCCTGCACGAGTCGTTTGCCCATAGGTGCGCCTGCCGCGGCTGCGCGGAGGGCCTGGCGACGGGCGCGCCGTGCCCGCTGTGCGACGCGGCGGCGACGGCGGTGCTGCGGGTCTACTCTGCCGCCTCGAAGGACGCTGTGGCGGCGACGGCGACGGAGGGCCAGGGGCCGGAGGTGGCAGCGAGGGCGTAGGCTCGGATGTCTACCGCGCTGACATGGATGATGCAGCGGGAGCTGCTGCTGCTGTGTGAAGCACTTCTGCTGTACAGCTGGGCAAAGATATGGTGCCTTTTTGACAGCCCAGCATGTGTTTCCATTTCTGTGTGTGACAATGGGCCGGGGTACTTGCCAACTTTGCCATATGGCTGTGCGACAATGTGGCAAGGCAGGCTCGCCCCTGCCCCGTGTCTTGTACTGCTAATCCTCTAGAAACTTTCCGCTGCGCCTGGCCACAAAATACACCTGGCGGCCTTCACCTGTCAACACGGTCGCATGCCCTGTTGCCGTTCCTGTCCGGCTGAGCACAGTGATCCCGCGCCAGGCGCTGGCACCGACACCCGTTCATCTGTCACACACACCGTGCCCCGCCTCCATGCGCATCAATGCAGCTCATAGATTTGGAACGAAGAGTCTGAGTTTGCAGCCGCTGCTGCTTTCTGGTTTCCTGACACGCTCCACCCTTGCTTTGGATTGCGGCGCGGCGCGTTGACGGCCAGCCAGCTGAAACACTGTTGTGCAACCAATTGCAGCCGTTGCGTTTGGCTCGCGGCCTGCGGACGCTTGAGCACGCAGGCGCGCCACGAGCAGAGGCACCTCGACCTTGCCGATGCCAAGCAAATGCCCACCCTGCTGTCGGGGCGTCACATGGTGTCAACTGCCTCAAGGAGCGTGCTGCATGCGAGCATCTATGTGTACGGCAGAGCATGCGCTGACCGCCGCGCCAACGTGTGTCCATTGCAAGCGCCCACTCGCCACGCCATGCTTACATGCACATCTCTTGGCAGCAGCTCGCATTGCAAATTGCGCCCTTTCGTCCGGCGCGCATGGCCTGCGACGCGCTCTCACCGCATTTCGCCCGACTGTTTCTCCATGGTATGGGGGTCTGCAGGGTGGCACCATGCTTCAAATGCTGATACGCGAATGAACACTGCTGTAATCTTTGATCCCTTTCTCTGATGACAATCTCTCGCTTCGGACAAGGCGGTTTTGGTATTGGAGTCGGCACGACCCAGGGCACTCTGCCAACCAACAGCAGCTGCTCTCGTGGACTTGTGCGCTGTAGGCACACGGCAAGAGGTACGGCGGCCCGTCACACCTAGGTGGGCCTGCTGTGCCGGGTTCACAGGAGCCGTGTACATCTGGGGACCGGGGCTTCAGGCAACCCTGGCGGCACCGCCGCTGCTGCGCTGCTGCTGATCTCAATGTGTTTATCCCTGCTTATGGCGACCGATCCCTGCAGGCAGGCCACTGGGGCTGGGGCAGATATCATGCAGCACGCTGCCTCAGGAGGCTGCGATGATGCCCAGGGACTGCGCTAGCTGCCACACTTTGCAGGGGCGAGCTGCTGGTGTCGCAGAGAGTGCGCATTGGAGTGCGGGGGATGAGCGGCGGTGCTCATGACACGAGGCAAACCAGCGGCAGGCTAGCGAGGCAGCGCGGGCACTGGCGCTCCAGGGCATGCTACCTTCACTGGCGGGGAGACGACAGCCGGCCTTCACAGCACCAAGATGTGTTGCAGCGTGTGCGTGTCCTGCCAGGGGCGGCGAGATGCTCGCGAGACGGGTGGGCATGATGGCAAAGCCCAAGACGATATTGTCTCAACAACTTCTGCTGCAGCGTTTGTTGTGAAGTGGCAGTGCAAATCGCCGTTTCTGGCCGTGCACCACACAGCAGTTTTGCTGGGCCCTGCTGCGTGCATCTACTAGTGCCCGATAATGCAAGCTGCAACAGGGTGCAGACAAAGCGGCCTGATACAGCCAGGGACCGTAGTTACCAAGCTGTGACAATATCTGTGCTGGGCGTCGCTGCAGCGCCCGAGCAGGGAATCACTACAACTACAAACGCTGCTTGGAAATGTACAAGCAAGGTGCAAATGGATTGCAGCAGCAGTGTAAAGTTCTGATGCAGGGCAGTTCTGATGCAAGCGGCATCTGCTGCCCCATTCGCAGCGTTGCAACAGGGGCACCTTGACATTTTGAGCAGGGCCGTGAATGGCCCCTCGGGTGTATTGACCTGAAATTGCATGCAAAGCCTGCAAATCTGCCATAAAACCCTTTGAATTTGCAGACACCGCACGGGCAAGTGTCGCGTTTGCCACTACTGGAGGAGCGTGCGTGGCGCCGCTGCAGGTGTGTTGTTGCGGGCACACGGCTTGTATGCTGAAGCCTGGATATGATGAGTATGGCAAGGCCATGCAGTGACGGGCGTGCGTGTGGTGCCCGCCTTGCACCTTGCTGCGATTGTACATGGAGCACGTGAGGTTGCCCAGGCATGGTGGAGCCAGGCATTCCACTCCAATAAAAAATGCCGGAATGCAGATGCCCAGGCACATGCGGGATTTGTGCCGTCTGTCAACCCCGAATCAGCACTGCGTCTCCTCTGCTCATTCATCAAAAACACTGCTGGCGCCGCTGCTGGGGCGCCTGTTGAAGCCGTCAACGACGCCAGCCCTGCCCTCGCTGAGGTCGCGCGCCCACTGCAGAGGCGCCTGCTGCTGTTCAGCAGTCAATGAAATCGTAAAGTCGGAGCTGCTGAGGCGCCGGCTGAGGCTGTCGTGCGCACCAGATCCGATGTCGCTTAAGTCGCGCGCCCACTGCAGCGGCGCTTGCTGCTGTTCAGCAGTCAACGGAACTGTAAAGTCGGAGCTGCTGAGGCGCCGGCCGAGGCTGTCGTGCGCACCAGACCCGCTGTGGCTCAAGTCCCGCGCCCACTGCAGTGGCACCTGCTGCCTCTGTGGCGTCAACGGCTGCGCCGGGCTGGACAGTCGCGGCTGCCTGCACGCCCCGCTGCCCGCGACGCTCCCAGCGTGCTGCTCGGGCTTCTGCGAAGCCGCCGAGCTCTTTGCAGCAAAGCTAGCTGCCGCGGCTGAGGCGGCCGCAGCCGCAGCGGCGGCGGCAACTGCCGCTTGCTCTTTCGTCTTGCAGCTGGACACGCCGTAGCGGCGCCGCACACGCAGCTGCTCGAACCGCACCAACTCTTCAATCAGCCTGCTGGCCGGCTGCCCCGCGGTGGCTGGCGGCAGCTGCGGCTGCGCCTCGACGCGCAGCAGCGCGGCGCCGTCCGCGCCGTCGCCGGGCCGTGCCACCTCGCACCATGGCGCCTCCCGGGCCTGGTCGCCGCGAGCGGCGTGCGTTGACGGCGAGGTCCGCGTCTGCAGTGGCTGCGGCGGCGCCTGAGGCTTGTGAGGGGCCTTGGCGGCGCAGCGCAGGGGAGCGGCTGAGACGCCGGTAGCGGCGCGCGCAGCCGTGTCGCACGGCTGCTGCTGGTGCTGCTGCTGGTGCTGCTGCTGATGCTGCTGCTGGTGCTGCTGCTGGTGCTGCTGCTGCGCATCCCGAGTGTCGCGATCCTGCTTGGCTGCAGGTTGCTGGTACTGCTGCATCTGCTTGGCCGCCTTCTTGGCGTTGGCCCTGTGCGCGGCGGTTGCAGCGGCGGTGGCGATGGCCATGCGCCGCAGGCGAGAGAGCTGCAGCTGCACCTGCTCGGCAGCCGAGGCCTGGCTGGGCAGGTGCTCAGCCGCGTCGTAGAACACATCTTCGCCGTCGCAGGCGGCGGCCTGCATGGCGCAAGTGCTGCCAACGCCGCGGCGCATGCGGACGTAAGTGATGCCCTGCATGGTCCGCTTGAAGGTCAATTGGGTCACACTTGAAGGCAGAAAATGCACGTGAAGCAGCAAAAAGGGCGTGACCTGCATGGTGATGAGCAGGGCAGAAGTGTGTTTATAATGTCCATGGTGACTTGGTGTGCATCGCGTGTGCATGTGTACGGAGCCCATTGTGTCAACAGGCAGGTTGCTTTCAAGGTGTCTACCAGGCCAGCTCTGCTGCAGTGACTGTGTGACCGCTGTCAGCACGGCAGACGCACTTATCAATCCGCTGGGTGTGAGCGTCTCCTCACCTTCAGACTCCTGACACAGGCAGCCGCCTGGCTTTGGTGAATCGATGGGACCAGGAGGGCAGCGGGTCCGAGACCGATGAGGCCCAGGAGGGTCTGGTGCACCCAAGCGCGGGTGTGCCAACTCGATGTTATGTTATTGGTACCAAGTGTAGCGTCACGCACTGCAGAAGTTGTTCCTGGAGAGAGGGGCTGATCTTCGCTAGCTCAACTTTCTGAATGTTGCTGTCAAAGCTCTGAAGCGTACGACATCACAGAGAACAACCCAGGTGAAACTTGCTTCGCGCTGAATCGGCGCCCGGAGCTTTGTTGCTGAGGTGCCACCCGACATTCCTCCTGCCGAGCAGCTGCGCCGCCTAACGTCATTCAAGTGGCCGGGTCACCCATCGCCTGGCATGAGGCTAAATTGAGCCGAATGCTTTGATGTACCCGCTAAAATAGGTCTTAGTGCCTCTGGACTGCATCAATGCCGCTGGACTGATGCAGGCCCCGCCACTGATGAGTGAGCCTGCTTCCCGACAGCCCTGCGGCTTGAAGGCGGCATGTCAACCTTCGCTGATGGTACATTGATCTGGAGCGACTGTATCAACTGGCACATTGCCTCACTAATCCAGCCCTTCCTGTGGCATCTGGCATTTAGGCGACGATGTCAGATGCAGAGAGTTTGATGGTAACACAATCAGCAGGGACAATGTGTGTCAGCATGTCGCACAACGTTATGCAATGGGCGAGCACCTTGCAAACCAGGCGCACAGCAGGCCGCCTGCACCCAAGATTCCTCAGCAACAAGCAAATCAGTGTGTTGTACGTCTGCACCGTTCTCGCCGCGCCTTCGTGGCAGCGCTGCCAGCCAGAGAGTCAGTCCCCCAGCCCTTCTGTCACTGCTGCGCATATGACGTAAACCCCTCGTGGGGCTCCAGGGGGCCCCTCGCAGCCTTCAGGTAGCCGCAGTCGGGCGTTTCCATGTCAAACGCGACGCAGCGGCTGTTGGCGTCGCAGCGCGCCCGCACAGACCTGCGGCCGCCACAGACCTGCGGGAAAAGATGAGGTTTGCACATTCGGGCATGTCACGCGTGGCTCATCTTGCTGGTGGGATAGAATAGCGCTTGTTTAAGGACGAGGTGCACCTGAGCTGCAAGCCAGGCGTTTGCCACAGACACCAGAAATGCAATCTGGTCGCCAAGGGCCACAAGCTGGGCGTGCCCGTGCACAGCGCGCGCTATCAACATACAGGTGCGCAAGCAGCGGGAGCCGCGAGCAGCTGGCGGTTGTAGGGGCGACGCACCCTGCAGAAGGGGGCATCACTGCCATCAGACTGCTTCTGGTCGCAGCTGATGTCATTCCCTGGAACAGGAAGGGGTCGCACGCCAAAAAGCGGCGTTGGTCTCCTCACACGTTGCAGGGCAACTCTACACTATACTACTGAAAACCTGGACGGTGGCGAATGCCGTCTCGTATACTAGATTCCTTTCGTTGGGCCCCTCACCAAGGATGCTCTTGCCAGCGGATGTGATGTAGCCGACCTCGTCAGGCGCAGGGGCCGCGCCGGGCGCGGCGCCCGGCGCGATGACCGTAACTTGCTGGCTCTGGTCCTGCGCCTGCGCTTGAGCCTGCGCCTGGTCGTCCTGCAGGAGGCCGCGCGCCGCCGCACAGAGCGCGGGGGATGACGGGCCTGCGCACAGCAGCAGCGCCAGGAGCAGGCCTGCGCGAAGGCACGAGGGGTGGGTGGGCAGTTCGCGACCTGGCCGCGCCCGAGGAGGGTGTGCGCCAGGGCGGGGCGGGCGCTCACCAATGGAGCTCGCTAGGTGGGGGCTCATCCTGATTCTATGCAGGTTGGGGTACTGACTCGCTGAGCATTAACCGAATGGGGAAGTAATGTGATGTTCTGACCTTTTAATCTGGCCTGCAGCCTGCAGCTGCACCCGGTTGCCAGCAGCTGCAGCTGTCAATGGGTCTGGGGCCCACACCCGTGGTTAACCTCGGCCAACCTCGGCAACGTGGTATAAAGTGTGATTGGGATCGCGCGGGCCATTCATACTAGCCAAAACGTCAGGTTGCGCCAATGCTCGAACAAAAGGCTTTAGAGGAGCTATTGCGATTCAGATAGGGGTCGGAAGGTCTGTATCCATCTGATGAGGTTCTGACCGAGCCGGCCGTTGGTTGGCTGTTGAATTCCGGCAAGTGCACTCCTTGGAAAATCAGCATTCTACTTACATGGGGGGGAAGCAGCCATAGCATCATCATATTTGTCTCGTTCTTGCTGGGTGTTTGGCGGCCCGCAACATGCACGCCGCCCGGAGCATACTGTGACTCGAGCTCAGGTGATTCAGGTGATGAGTGAGCAGCTGCTGGGGTTGGACAGACGATCCAGCCGATCGCTCTTAGAAGGACTTCAGCTCGCACTACGACGTCTCGATTCGAACTCAACGTAATTGGTCTTCGTGGAGCGCACGGCTCGTTTGCGAGGTGTGCCTTTTTTTGAAATCCTGGCAACACCGGTCCGCGATGGCAGGCCCCCCGCTATCGGCGCAGGCTATGAAATTGTTGGCAAAGGATCTTAGAGACCTGCAGGAGAAGCCGTGCGAGGGCATTCGCGTCATCGTCAACGAGCAGGACGTAGCGGATGTTCAGGCCGAGCTGGAGGGACCGTATGGCACGCCTTATGCAGGCGGGCTGTTCCGTATGCGTCTAGCGCTGCCCTCCGACTTTCCAGCCTCTCCACCAAAGGGCTGGTTCATCACAAAGATCTGGTGCGCTACACGCGCTTCCGCGCTGTTGCTGCCGATGCAGGCGCTCGCGCTGCATGTCCTGCGAGGCTTGCCGGCATATAGCTAGCAGCAGCAGATTATTCATCAACATGGTTCTGTTCTCCCGCTGAGATTGCTTCATGAGGCAGAGAAGTGCATCGGCACACGCCCCCCAGGCAGGCACTTGAATACGCGCGCATGCACGCGTTCGGCCGCCGCGGCCACCGCCGCTGCCGCCGCAGGCACCCAAACGTCAGCAAGTCCGGGGAGATCTGCGTCAATGTCCTCAAGAAGGACTGGCAGCCCGACCTCGGCCTGCGGCACGTGCTGCTCGTGATCCGCTGCCTGCTGATTGAGCCGTTCCCAGAGTCGGCGCTCAACGAGGACGCGGGCAAGGCGCTGCTGGAAGACTATGCCGAATACTGCAAATACGCGCGCCTGATGACCGAGCTCCACGCGCAGCCGCCCAAGCGCCCGATGCCGCTGGCGACCGCGTCGGGCGCAAACGCGAGCGGGGAGGGCGGCAGCGGCGACGGGCAGGGCCCGGGTTCGCCGGCGGTGAAAAAGCCCAAGGCGGCGGCGGCGAAACTGCCGGCCCAGGGGATGGCCAAGAAGAAGAGCCTCAAGCGGTTGTGAGGTTGCCTGCTCCGCAGCCGCTGATGCACTGTTGTGGTGAGCTTGGTAGTTTATGCGAGGGTGCTGTCGGTAGTACGCAGCGTAGTCTTTTGCTGGCGCTGGAAGCTTCCACCACCAGCAAAGTTGGTGGGCTTCCGCACATCGTGGCAGGCGCGCGTGCGTTTGGCCATGGCATGCGCCGCAATATGCTGGACTCTGCGACCACGGCAGTTGACGTTGCAACCCCTTGTTGCCATGCCAACATGCCAAGGCAACTGCTAAGGCTGGTGATGTTTGTGATGTCCTTGGCTGCCACGCAATCCTTTCAGCACAGGGAGGCGGCGCTGTGACAGCGTTGCCGTTGTGATGTCGAACCCTTCGCGCCATTTTCTGTTCTTGATGTTTTTTGGTGCCAGGTTGCGGTCTTTTTGACGATTCTTTGCTCTTGAATCCCTGCCTTTTCCTGCACGGCAGGCTTGCTTGCCATTGTCTGTTGATTTGGGCAGCAGGCGTGTCTTGTCTGCAACCTGCGAATCTTGCTGGTGTTGTGGGTCATCTGTTGAGCCATCGCCCAACATCAGCTCGCCGCTGGAACTACCAGAAGTCTGTAATGCTTTCTGGCTGACGCCGCAATATTGTATGACACTTCAGACGTTTTAGCCCGGGCGCCCTGGACATTGGAGTGCAGCGACGATGAATGGAGAGCAGCAGCACGCTCCTTCTGCTGATTCTGGACTTTGACCGCGTTCAAGAGACGCCGTACGGTGTTTCACAAGCCTCGCAGTGCTTTGCTGACGCAGTCACCGTTTCCAGCACTTTTAATCAATGGTATTACAATCGAGTTGAGCAATTCTGCAAAGGCCGCCACACTCGTCGTCAGCACTGCTAGATCTAGCGGGGCTTGGCTCGCAGACGTGCTCTTGGATATGGCCGCGATGAAGGCGGCCGGGATGCCTGCAATGGGCCTGCAGCGGCGGGGCCCTGGCATAGCAGCACACAGATCTGCAGTTTGCAGGCCGCAGCAATGCAGGCGCCTGGCAATGCGGCAGAGCATCGCCGTTTGCACAGCAGCCTCTCCTCAATGGCCCTTGAGGCTGGCCACCGCGATACAGCAGCAGCCCGTAGTCCTGCTGGCCTGCCACGCCGCAGTGGCCTCCCAGCGGATTGTCTCGGCCATTCGGGATGGCTTGAGTCGAATGTTCCCGCAGCTGCAGGAAGTCAGCAAGGAGGTGCGCATAGCGGGCGCGCATCGCCAGGACGGCTGCTGTCAGCACGCATGGCGCTTTCGCTGTGCTGTTGTTGCTGGGCCTGCTGCTGGGGCCGTGCACAGATAACTCACGCGCCCATGCCTGCGCACCTTATGGCTTTGTGCGTGGCGATGTTATAGACCGTGTATATACTGCAGCGGCCCGTCGGTATGCAGTGGCGCCGCATTACGCCTGTGGCAACGCGATCCAATCCCACCTCAACACCTGCGAAAACAACGCGCCCCAAACCCCAAGGACCTTCGGCGGCAGCTGTCACGCGGCGCGCGCATGATGGCGCTGCTGGCGCTGCCCCTGGCGCGCGCCTCGACCGAGTCCCTCACTGCAGTGTACGCGCGGACGTTTGAGAAGGCGGCCTTCGGGTTTGCAAAGGTGCGCAAGGCGTTCCTGCCGGGGTTGAGAAATGGCGCTCTTGACAGATGTGCGCCGTGGAGGCGTGCCCAGCTGCCTAGTTGTTGCATGCGGCCGAAGCAGCTGGGGCTGGAGATAGCCCGCTGCCGCGACCCTCGCAATGCGACGCGTAAAGCAGTACGCGCACCAGCAACCCGACCGCTCGCCATTCTCTCAATGGATCCGCTGCCCCCCGCACGGCCCTTCCGCGCCCCCCCCCCCCACCGCTCTGCGCACCAGATGTACCTGTTCTGCCTTTTCATGCGCGTGCTGCTGAGCTGGTTCCCCGGGATCGACTGGAACGCGCAGCCCTGGACCTTCCTGCGGCTGGTGGGCGCTGGGTGCCCCCCCTCTCTGGAAGCCACCGGCGGAACGGCTTCTTTGCGCACAAGGGCGCGGCTTGCCTTTCGGCTGGCGCCAGGAGCACGGGCGCGGCGATCCGCTGGCGCGCAGCGCCGCACGCCAGCCCGCACGCCGTCCAGCAGCAGCGCGGGTGCGGCCGCTGTCGCCCTCAACGCCCGGCTGCCTTTGCTCGACCTGCGCCAACCCCCCTCCCCCCCACCTCCCCTCCGCCCGCTCTGGGTCCCGCCAGATCACGGAGCCTTACCTGCAGATCTACCGCGGCATCCTGCCGCCGCTCTTTGGGCAGCTGGACTTCACGCCGCTCTTCGGATTCCTCATCCTGCAGGTGCGCCCCGCACGCGCCCCGGCGCCGCCCAACGGGCGTGGGGCGGTGCGCCCTCCTCGCCTTGGGGCCGCTGCTTGCAGCCTTGGGTCTGCCGCAACCCTGGTTCCCCTGCTGGGCCGACTGCCTGAGCGTCGCTTGGCCTCGCATTGCTGTCGGTCCAATGGCCACACCTCACAAACCACCCCCCGCATGTCGCCCCAACTTGCCCTGGTGACCCAGGACGTGGTGGAGGTGATGGCCCCCACATACACCATGGGGCTGCATGTGGTGGACACCTCAACCAAGTGGACCACCAGCGACGTCATGTGCTACCTCGATGGCTTCTGATCTGCGACGGGATGGCTGCCGGGATCTCCGGGATTAGCTCATCGGCCTGGCGGCAGTGAACGCGGGAGTCTCTATCTCGCAGCGGCGGCGATCGAGGACCGGCATGCATCAGCACACATGGCGCGTGCTGGCGAGCGGCCGGTCCCGCAGCCACGAGCAGCGGCCATCACTTCAGTCAGTCGCGGAGCCGTATGCACCCCCTCAATCACGCGGGCGTCTCGACTCGACACTCAAATGGGCTGCTGCTTCAGCAACGCCTTGGCCCCATCTTTTTTGCCATGTCCTCATGTGCTTTCTTCCCTGTGGCACGCAATGTAATGGTTACAATCCATGGTGGCTGTGAGTGTGGCTGTGAAGATGGAGGGGGTGGACGCCAACGTGGATGTCGCGCGCCCTGAGATGCGCATGGAGAGCGCGGCGCCAACCAGCAGGACGAGGCGAGCAGCAAGTGCAGAAAGCCAGAAGGGGGTGAGCCAGGCTCGGGCGAGGAGAGTGGCGAGTGTGTGCAGGCCGCGAAACGTGTGCTTGGCGCTGAGGGTTGCGATGATCCAGCGTGCAGTTTGACGTCAGCAGGCGGTGGGCCCGGCCGGGTGAGGGTGTGTCGGAAAACCTTTGAGCGCGCTGGGGGCGCGTCGGTGGCCGCGGAGCGCAAGGCAGCGCAGCCCCTTTATCAAGTCTGATGATTTGGCAAGGTGTAGCTCGTATCAGTTATGCACAACGCTATCGCGGCGCCGCCTCTGGCAGGCGTCAGGGCCCTTGCGGCAACGCCCATGCGCGCACGCAAAGGTGGCAGGGCGGGTGCACAGGTGGGTGCGGCGCCCTGGAGGCTTGAGCCACCCCTCCGGCTCGCGGTGCCGGGTGCTGGAAATGATGCATAGAGGCCGGCAGAGCTGCGCAGCTGCACGCGTGCATCTCCCAGCCAGCCAAGCTGATGTGCGCTCCGCAGGGCACACGAAGGGTTGGGGGTGCTCGCACCCAGATGGGACAGTCACAAGGAGACGGGCGATCCAGGACAGCCAGGCGCCGCCGCCCAGGCAGCCCTGAGATCGCAGGCTCGGCACGGCTGGCAAGCGCCCCAGCAGGCGCGCCGCCAGCTGCGAGCACGTGTGCTGAGTATGGCCTCGTCTGGGAAAAAGGGCACGCACTGTACCTGCCTGCTGCACGGCGCCCGCCCCTCCGCCGCTGCAAACTCCCGCTAGCTGCCGCCCTCCTCCGACCCGAGCACCACGGTGCCGCTGTTCTGCAGGCCGCTGGCCGGCGCGGCCGCGGCGCCCGAGCTGGCGGGGGTGGGTGCGTCCGAGGCGAAATCCAGCTGGAAGCGCGCCAGGTACTCATCGCCTGGGGTGATGGGGCCGGCGGTTGGCGATGGGAGAGGATCAGCGGGGTTTGCAGGGTGCGTGGGCGGCTGTTTGGAGGTCGGGGTGCTGGAAAGGTCGGCGAGAGGCGCGCTGGTCAAAGGGGTCGCATGCGCATGCGCGGCGGTATCCAGGCCCTGCGCTGGAGCCGCCTCGGCTCGACGGCATAAGCACAGAGCACGGGAAAATTTGTATCAGTGGATGGTACAGCCACGCCGCCACCCCCTCCCCCCCCCCCAAAAAAAAGCCAGGCCAAGCGCCAACGCCTCGGCGTCCCCTCATCCCCGCTCACCAAATGTGATCTCTGCCCCCACGCCAACCTCCACGTTGTCCATCGGCGACAGCTCCTGGCCGTTGACCATCGTGCCGTTGGTGCTGTTGAGGTCGGTCACAAACACGCTGTCATTCTCTGACGAGCGTGGGTGGTTTGCGTGCGGGGTTGAGTAATCTTGGCAAGGGTGACTGCACCGGTGATGACGAGCGGCGATGGATATTGTTTGCAGCGGATGGAAAGGCGGACAGGCGGAAGACCAGGTGTTGCTGCGGGGGAGGCGGCGGCAGCTTGCGGGCGCGGGGCGGGGCGCGGCGGGCGCCCACCGACGCGCAGCAGCGCATGGCGCGTGGAGACCGTTGGAATAGGGAGCAGGATGTCTGCCGGGGAGGTGCGGCCCACCTGCAAAGGAAGCGGGGACGTGCCAAGACAAGGGCGGCTCGATGCATGGCCCCATCCACACAGCGGCCGCCCCAGACCTTGAGCAGACGATACGGCGCCACGCCGCCAGGCGGAAAGGTTGCTACCTAAGGGCAGCGGCTGACTCAGGCCGCGGCTGGCGCTCGCCCATGACCGACACGCGCTCGTCGCTGCTGAGATGAAGCAAGGTGTGCTTTTTTCAAGGGCGGCCCACCTCGTACACGCCATCCTTGAGCAGTATGGGACCAGGCAGGGGCACCTTGGAGCCTATGTGCTCGGTGCTGCCGCTTCCTGCATGCAGGCGGGGTCGTTCGCAGTGTGCGAGCCGACGGATGTTGAACGGGCATGCGTTTGGGGTCCCGCATTTCTGCGCAGTCCTTGCTTGTGCGCGTGCATGCGTTCGCGCACGCTCTGCACGCTGTGAAAACTTTGCGCTGCCTGCACCGAAACCAAAAACTACCCATTGCCCCTTTTGCTGCAGATGAATGCAAACGCGCGCATTCCCCTGCACACCCACTGCCCCACTCCGCCTGAACCTGACAGAATTCGCCGCTCTCACCGGTTGGGGTGAGGACCAGGCGGGATGAGGCAACGACAACGACGCACCAACGAGAGGTTGAGCGCGTGGTCGGCACGAAACGTGCAGCTGCGCGGCGGTGCAGCAAAGAGGCAGGGGAGACACTCTGTCGCTGGGGTGCTGGAGTGGGGGGTGCAACGCCGACGCATCGTGCCATGAGGAGCGGCGATCAGTGCATGCGAAGGCCGACCCAACGCACCGTATGGGATTCCAGGGCGTGAAAGCACCGCGCACCCCAAGCAGGACCGGCTGCCAGCGATGAGAGACCTCATCCCGCTTGTGACGAGACTCGCTGCCCTGACAACTTTTGGGGCCTCTCCCAAGCAGCCTTTGGAACTCTATAAAGTGCGATTGTGCAATCAAGACGGTGGGATCGTATGCGTGCACAGGCGATAGTCGGATCGAGCGCGCTGATCAGCTGGGGCGATGCCAGATCCCTTTCGTGGATTTTATGCGTGCATGCGTGCGGTAATCCAGTGGCAAATCGTGCCATTCAGCAAAGCAAAGCCAATGGTGCCACACGGCTTGGTTACCCAACCTCGTCGTCCGGCGAAATTGGCACCTGACCTGCTGGCGTGCGCCAACGCCGTGCAGGAATGCAGCAGAGGCCGCAAGGCCCTCCTTCAATCCGGTCAATTAAGGAGGGCAGAGGTTGGGCTTTCTGTGTGTGCTCTGTGTGGGCGTATGGGTGTATGTGCAAGATGTGCACAAGTGCGTGCGTGAGGGTGCCCTTGCTTGACGAGTTGCTTGATTTTGGTTTCCAGGTTGGTTGTGATGTATGTGATCATGCAAAGGTTTTGATACACAGTTTATGTTCAGGGATGCTGGCTATCTGCCTACCGTGCCGCATCTGCACACCTGCTGTGGTCCGCTTTTTGGGCATCAACTCTATGCCAAGTCCTGGGACTGACTACCGGTACTCTGCCACGGCGTGAGGCCGCACCAGACCTTTCCTTCTTGACGTGAGAATTGGGTTCTTCGCTATCATAGGGCAGTGCGAGGGCGCATTGTCGCGGCGGGGTGTCAACCTGGGTTGACCACAACAGGCCATCGGCGGCCATTGCGCCGATTGGTCGGATGCAGCAGCCTGGCCTGGCTTCAGCACAAAAGCGACATACCTCAATTTGTTTGCCCCCAACTCTTTACCACCTGCCTGGCAATGGTCGCACCTCGAGAAAGGGTGACGATGGTTCGCAGCGTGATGGGCTCGCCTCACCCCTCCAGTTGAAAGCGCGAGTCGGTGGGCTTGCGTGATCAATTTATTTAATATACCCGTTTCACGTTGCCACAGTCCCTCGTGAGGATACTCGTGCAGGCGGCACTCCCCCCCGGGAGGCCGCGCACGATGATGCGCTGCACGCGCGGCCGCTCACTTAACGGATGTACCGGTGCTGCTGCAAAAGGATTGGCACAGGGCGTCCTTGCCCTGCTACTAGTATCCCTATGCTCAGGCGACCCTATCAGCGCCTGTCGGCCAGAGCGGCATCAGCGGCCAGCGGCGCGGCGATTACGCGCCGAGCTACCACAGGGCCAGGACAGCGCAGCAGCAGCGGCGGCGGCGGCGGCGGCCATGGCCACATCGGCACCACCCGCTGCTGTCGCTCCGCCAGCAAGCGCAGCAGCGGCAGCACCAGGCGCCCCGTCAGCAGAGGGCCACGCCCGCTTGGGTGACAACATCACCCTCTGGCCGCCCCAGGCGTGGCAGGCCGGTGAGGCTCGCCTCGTTTGCTTCGCAGCACCCAGGCCCTATTGCTCAAGCCTGACTGGCGCCCCTGTCGCGTGCTCCTGCGATCCAGCAACATGAATGCATCCAAGCAGGCATGGCATGCAAACAAGCGCGCTGCCTCGTTTTCAGACCCAACGTCTCGATTTGAATGTAGGCATGCCAACGCGATCACCCGGCCCCGCAGGCATGTACATAATCACGGCCGCCACCATGGCTTCCACCTCCGCCGGCGGCGTCGGCGCGCCCGCCGTGCTCGCGCCGCTATTCCTAGTCGCCTCTGACGGCCACCTGCGGCCCAGCCAGGCCGTCGGGATAGCCCAGGTGGTGCCTATTGCCGCGGCGGTCGTAAACATCCTGGTTTTCGCAAACCAGGTGAGGCGTATCTCTGCATCTGGCACCCATCGGCGGCCTTGAATCCTTCCCATTGCGTGGTCCCGGCACGCATCCGCAGCCCGCGCAGTTAAGACTCATCGCCGCTCCGTATGGAAACTCCTGTGTGTTTTCCAGATGCGTTGGCATGCGCCTCGGCTCAGCTGAAGCTCGTACCGTCACTTTTACTCATACGCCTTCTACTCGTCTGGGCCCCCC